TATAAATTTCCGTGTAAGACTCTATCCCTTTCTCTATTTACATTTACACGGTTTTTAATCGGTAAAATTTGGGGAAAATTTTGAAAACCTAATTTTTATTAAGAAACCAATTCACCCCCTCTTGGTTTTTGTCCGACCACGCGAACATTCGCTGCGCGATTCTAACAAGTGGTATCGAGCTTGCTTTGATAGTCATTCAAATTTTCGAAAATGGCCGGACAAAATCAAACTTTTGCCGAAGGTGTGTCTATCAACGAGACCCCACTTTTTGCGGGTCAAAATTATCCTTTTTGGAAGGTACGTATGCAAATATTTTTAGAGTACTGTTGATAGAGGCGTTTGGGACGCTATTTTAAACGGTCCATATATTCCTAAAGTAGCCGAGAACGGTATTGACGTTCCCAAATCTTTTTCTAGATGGACTGTCGAAGAAAGTAGAAAAGCACAATTTGATGTTAGGGCTAGAAATATAATTTCATCTCGCTCTAACCCTTGACGAGTTTTATAGAATTTCGGTTTGTAAAAGTGCACAGGAAATGTGGGAAATGCTAAGGGTGACCCACGAAGGAACTGACGACGTCAAAAGAGAACGTAAAAATTCTTTAATCCAAGAATACGAGATATTCCGGATGCAACCAGGCGAAACGATATTTGACGTACAAAAACGTTTCACTCATATCGTGAACCATCTCACCGGACTAGGTAAAATTTTTGACGTTGATGAATTAAATGTTAAAATTTTGAAATCTCTGGATAGGAAATGACAACCTAAGGTGACGGCCATCTCGGAGTCACAAAATCTTGCCACAATGTCCATGACGGCGTTATTTGGAAAGCTTAGAGAACATGAGCTTGATCTTGGAAGGCTAAATGAGGAAGAAGGTCAATACCAAAAGAAGAACCTAGCCTTCAAAACTGAGATTTCTAAAGGTAAACATAAAAAGGAAGAAGAAGAAGAAGACTCGGAAAATGATGAAGAAGAGTTGAGTCTTTTTATAAGAAAGTTCACCAAGTTCATGAAAGCAAAAGGAAGACATCCTTTCAAAGGTAAGGGAAAGGTAAAAGAAAATACTTCCATAAATATAAAATGTTATGGTTGTGGTGAAGCAGGGCATGTAAAGACCGAATGCCCAAACAAGAAAAACGATGAAAACAAGGGCAAGAAGCAATTCAAGAAGAAAGCCTATATTGCTTGGGACGACAGTGATTCAAGTTTGGAATCAAGCGACTCGAAAATAGAAGCAAACATTTGCTTAATGACAAATGACAACATATCTTCGGATTTTGAGGTTAGTGATTCCGATTCATCTTCTAGTGATGAAAATGACCATGATGAATTGCAAAATGCTTACAATGAATTATTTATTGCCTTTAAGAATTTGAAAGATGAATATAAAGTTGTAAAGAAAAATCTAAGAAAATCGGAAAAGGAAAATGAGTCCTTAAAATTGAAAATTGCATGTTTAGAAGAAAAGGAGGTAGCTAATACGAAAATTGTATGTTTAGATGAGGATAAGAATTTAGCATGTGCAAACTGTAAAGAGCATGAATATGAGATAGATATTCTTAATCATTTGCTAGACAAAGCTGAAAAGGAAATAGATGATCTTAAAAAGCATGAATTGATGTTTGCTCAAAATAATCATCAAGTTCCTTTGAATAAGCCTAAAAGGAAAAATAAAAGAGTATGGGTAGAAAAAGGAACTAGAGCATCTATAATTAGAAATGCATCATTTTCAAATGTTACATCTAAAGTATGTTTTTATTGTATGAAACATGGTCATACTTCAAATAGATGTAAAATCAAACATTTTGGTGTTCCTAAAGGAAAATATATTTGGGTTCCTATAGTTAAATGAATTGTTTGTCTCTTTTATTTATTCAAAGAAAATGGATCATTTAGTATGTTTTAAACAGAATGCTTAGGTAAAATCATTTTATCTTTTCTACTGCATGAAGGTTCTTCACTTAAAGATTTTGCGAAATGCCTCTAAAATCATTTTAAACAACTAAAAACAAAATATTTTTACAAAAGCTTTCTTAAACATGCTTTTAACTGATATAGTTGTGAAAGAACCGATTAAAATCAATTAGAATGTTCAAAGAAGTGTTTTTACAGTATTTTAATCGATACAACTTGTTTTTAATCGATTAAAACCATTTAGAACTCATTATGATCAATCAGAATACAAATATGACCGATCAGAATCAAATGTGATCGATCAGATTTAAATTATGAGCGATCAGAATCTTTTCAATCGATTAAAACATGTTTCAATCGATTAAAATCACTTAAAGGGTCAGGATGATCGATCAGAATCCAATTATAACCGATCAGAATCAGTTATGATCGATCAGAATTTAGTTATGACCGATCAGAACTATTTTAATCGATTAAATCTCGTTTCAATCGATTAAAACTACTTAGAAATTTTCTACACAGCGTTTTAATCGATTAAAACTTATTTTTATCAGTTAAAATAACTTGAAAAGTTTTATAAGAAAGTTTTGCAGTATTTCAATCGATTGAATCGTGAAACAATCGATTAAATCAACTTAGAAGATTTTTTATAAAGTGTTTTAATTGATATAAACGTTGTCGTATCAGTTAAAACAAATCTATTAAAGAATCAAGAACGTATTAATGGATTAAAAGAAGTTTTAACAGATTAAAACTGCACTTTTAACAGATTAAAAGAATCTTTTAACAGATTAATTAAACCAGCAGTTTTGAAAATCTTCTATAAAAACAGGTTGGCTTGAACTTTTTAAACACACATTGAATATAAGTTTTCACACATCCTTAAGCAATCAATTAAGCAACTTTAGCACTCTTTTTAAGAAAGATTCGCGGCAGTTTTTGAGAAGTTCTTTAAAAAATATTTCTTGAGGAATGTTGCTTTTCTTTAAAGAAGTAACTCACTGCAGAATAGCATAAACTGGTTCGTGGTATCCATCTGATGCTTGTATTAGTTTAATAGGATATTCTGATGCTGATTATGGTGGATGTAAAATTGATAGGAAAAGTACTAGTGGGACATGTCATTTGTTAGGTTCATCTTAATATCTTGGCATTCTAAGAAACAGGCATGTGTTGCTTTATCTACCACTGAAGCTGAATATATTGCAGCTGGTAGTTGTTGTGCTCAAATTCTATGGATGAGACAACAATTAGAAGATTATAGTATCTTTTTAAATGACATACCTTTGATGTGTGATAATACGAGTGCAATAAATCTAACTAAGAATCCAGTAATGCACTCTAGGACTAAACATATAGAAATAAGACATCATTTTTTGAGAGATCATATCAGCAAAGGAAACTGTAAAATAGAGTATGTTGATACCAAACATCAATTAACAGATATTTTTACTAAGTCTTTACCCAAGGATAGATTCTATGATCTTAGAAGAGACTTAGGAATATTAGACATTGCCTAAATTCTGCTTAAATAAACAGCTTTTACATGATCGAAATGTTATATATCTCTTTGTCTGTAATGACGTTTCTTTATGAAATGAAATTTGTTTCTTTAAATGCTTTGATTGAGGGGGAGGTATCTCCAACTTATGCATATTTTGAGGGGGAGCTCTTATGATTGTTATTGCAGAGTTCTTTTTGATTATAATCAAAATAGGGGGAGAAATATTTAAAGCCTCATATGAATTGCATTTAAATATTATCTGGTATGTTTGATGTGTTTGTTAGTATGACAGATAAAACAGGTTATTACAAGGGCTTTAAAAGATAATTTTGATCATCATCAAAAAGGGGGAGATTGTTGAACATTCAAGGACTTGATGTTGCACTTAATGAACATGAATATTGATGATTTTGATGATGATTCAAGAACTCAATGACTTAGAGTGTTGAAGACTTATTTTTGTAGTGTAATAACTCTGTTTTAATTAGATTGAGTCTGTAATTATAGAGTTTGAGATAGCTGGTACATAGTCTCGCAACTTAGAAGCTTCAAAAAGCCCAAATATATCATCCAGGCTCGGCTTTAATCGATTATATAGGAAATAATCGATTAAAACAGATGAGAAAACCATTTTCGAGTATATACTCACCTGTTTTAATCGATTAAAACATCAAAATAATCGATTATTAGGTCAAATAATCGATTAAAACTTCAAATAATCGATTAAAACAGAGAGGTTTTGGGTTCTGTTTTTTTGGCTCTGTTTTAATCGATTATAACTCCATTTAATCGATTATTTCAGTCTGTTTTTGATTTTAAATTTCAAATTAACCCTATTTTCGAAAACCCAATTATCAAGAACCCTAGTTTTGAAATCCCCTTTTTCTAAACCATAATTTCCCTACTTAAACTCTCCTTTGACACTCAGAAATTAAGAACAACCTTTTCCATACAAAAGTTAAGTGTTGTGAGTGCCAGAGAACTGTTTGTTGCAAGGAAAGGGGACTTTCTGAACCTAGTGTGGGTTAGAAGCGATAAGAATCACTAAGTGGAGTTCTTAGTGGATTGTGTGTTGTGCCGTCTCTGGGGAAAACTGCTCTTCATCTCTTGTGGGTTTCAAGAGAGGTGTTATCTTTTACTTTATCTCTTCCATTGTAATTTGTATTGTAACAATTTGTTTATAGTAACAACGTTAATCCTCTGTTGAGTGATTAGCAACTGGACGTAGGGTCTTTTGATCCGAACCAGTATAAATTTTCTGTGTAAGACTCTATCTCTTTCTCTATTTATATTTACACAATTTTTAATCGGTAAAATTTAAAAAAAATTTTGAAAATCTAATTTTTATTAAGAAACCAATTCACCCCTTTTATTTAACACTTCACTGCCATGTGCGTACAATTTCATCTGCAAACTACAGAAATGGAAAATTTACTCCAACTTTGTCCTCTTATGGACCCCAGTCTTATCCTCCCATACTCTTATTCTACTTAAACTCTTCCACTCCCTCAGACAATCATCACTTTTTTCTTCTTCCCCTCTCACACTCAGTGCCAATTCGATTCTCCTTTTCAAATGGGTACCCCCGGAAATGATGATTCAAGCACCCAGATACCTGAGAGCGCAAAAAGTTCTTACCTTTTCAGGTACAATTCGCCGTTGATTCAGACCGTTCTTATTGGGTTCGTATGCTTTTGCTGCCCCGGCATGTTCAACGCCCTCTCCGGCATGGGTGGCGGCGGGCAACTTAACACCACTGCATCCAACAACGCCCTCACCGCCCTCTACACCACTTTCGCCGTCTTCGGCATCCTCGGCGGTGGAATCTATAACATCCTCGGACCCCACCTCACCCTCTTCGCTGGTTGCTCCACCTACGTCCTCTACGCCGGCTCCTTCCTCTACTACAACCACTACCAGCACCAGTTCTTCGCCATCACCGCCGGCGCCATTCTCGGAATCGGCGCTGGCCTTCTCTGGGCGGCGCAGGGCGCCATCATGACCTCTTACCCGCCGGAAAATCGCAAAGGCACTTACATTTCCATCTTCTGGAGCATCTTCAACATGGGGGGTGTCATCGGTGGGTTAATTCCCTTCATTTTGAACTACAACCGTGGTGACTCTGCTGCCACCGTCAACGACGGAACCTACATAGGGTTCATGGCTTTTATGTCCGCTGGGGCTGTTTTGTCGTTGACCATTTTGCCAGCCAGCAAGGTTGTTCGCGATGATGGCACTAGGTGCACCAACATGTTGTACTCCAATGTGACAAACGAATGTTTTGAAATTCTCAAGCTTTTCTACAATTGGAAGATGCTTCTCATTGTTCCCGCTGCTTGGTGTAGTAACTTCTTCTACACCTACCAGTTCAACCATGTTAATAAGCTGCAGTTCAATTTGAGGACTAGAGGGTTCAACAACGTGTTCTATTGGGGGGCGCAGATGCTTGGTTCGATTGGGATTGGTTATGTGATGGATTTCAGTTTCAAGAGTCGCAGGAAAAGAGGGGTTGTGGGAGTGTGTGTGGTTGCTCTTCTAGCTTCTGGTATATGGGGTGGTGCACTTGCTAATCAGATTAATCGTGACCTCGTTGCGGTCTTGGATTTTAAGGAGGGTTCTCGCTATGCTGGACCCTTTGTCTTGTTTTTCTGTTTTGGCTTGCTTGATGCCATGTTCCAAAGCATGGTCTATTGGGTTATTGGGGCCCTCGCCAACGATTCTGAGATTCTTAGCAGGTAAGTCAACATATGTAGCAGAATCTCTCTTGTTCTATTTTTTCTTCAAAGCATATGATTGCAAGGAGTATTTATTTCAGTTAACACTCATAAACAAATACGCCTTCCTGATTTTCTCCATGTTCAATAATCAGGATTTGAATCTGACTACTAAGATTCACTTGGTCTCTCATGTTCAATTATTGATTGATTTTTGTATTTATAAAGGCGTGCTATTCATTGAGAATATACTTCTGATGATGTTGGAATTTTTGGGAATTAACTATTATTCGTGGTGATGGTTATGCAGGTATGTAGGGTTCTATAAAGGCGTACAAAGTGCAGGGGCTGCAGTGGCTTGGCAAATTGACAACCAGAAGGTGTCAGCTATGACTCAGTTGATTGTGAATTGGGTATTGACCACTGTTAGCTATCCCTTGTTGTTGGTTCTGGTTGTGTTGGCTGTGAAAGAGGAGAACAAGGGAGAAGAGGAACAAGCAAAACAGGTTGCGCCTTCATCGGCTGAAAATGGCTTTGTTCAGTGATATTACCTGTAAAAATATCTGCATCTTTTGTCTAATTTGTGTTGTCTCATTGTTACCATCGCCATCACTTTTAAAACTTTCAAATGCTTGAAGAAGATTAGATTGTATGTGTTAATCTCGTTTGTCTGATTCGTCAGAGAAAAGTAAAAGAGACAGATTAATGAAATTTATGTTGCGACTCCTGATTATTCCAGGATTAACTAACACGAAACGCGTCATGAAAAATATTTTGTTTACTATCTAAACATTTATTAAGAGAGATAAACGTAAACTTTAGTGTTTAAATATTAATGAAGAAAGTGAAAGACGTTAAATTTTAAACAAAAAATTGTGTAAATATAATTTTAAATTTCTACAGGTGATTGTTTTCATTTTTTTTAAATTTCGCTTAATTATTGTTTTAATTTATTTATTTAATTAAAGAAAAAATATTATCACTTTTGTTAATATTATTAAATTATTTAAAAGAAAGTTGTCTAATATTGATATTGACGCGATTATGTGGATGTGTCATAAAATCTGTGACAAGACGTATTTAGAAAATAAATAATTTGATAAATTCAAGATTATATTAATTATGTTTTAATTTTTTAATTATACTTATTATAAATTGTTGGAGTTAGAGAATTTAGGTATTCATAGTTATATATATATATATATATATATATATATATATATATATATATATATATATATATATATATATATATATATATTATCTTAATGGTGATGAATAAAAACTTTAAAATGGACTATACATTCGATATCAGAATTTATGCTCATGATATTATCATGACAAACATAAAATTAAGACACTTTCGCTCTTAAACGAACGAGAACATTATCGTTTATCACAGGGTCAAGTGCATAGTCTCACTCTACTCATATCTTTTAATCCTCGACTTAGTACACTCATGAGTTTCACATCCCTTAAAAATCGAGATTAAGGGTAGTATATATACATCACTTCCACCGAAGCGTCTTCTAAGGATAAAATTGTAATCAACTAAAACTCAAAAATAGATAATACTTACATGAGATCAGAACACTCTCTTTCTTATATGGAACATAAATTATCTTTAAAAATGAGAAAAGAAAAAAATTAAACAATAGAAATATTATTAGAAAATTATTAAAAATAATAATTTTGAAGAATATTATTGAAAATAAAAATTTATTTATTTATGTATGTAAACTTTAAATTAGATATATTAAAAAATATAATTTATTATTAATATGTTAAAGTGACATAAATATGTTTTAAAAAATAAATAAGATTTTATTTTGTTTTTATATTTATATATAAAAAAATCATCAAAATTATTATCTAAGTAGATGACATCAATACTAGTAAAATTATTAAACAATTTATAAATATAATAATTATTTAAAGAAAATGTTTATAAATACAGAATATTAAAAAGACAATTTTATTTAATCATAAATTTATGTTTATACAAGGAATTATATATATATATATATATATATATATATATATATATATATTACCAAAAGAAAATATAACAAAAATAATACAAATATTATAAACTCAAATGAAAAACACTTTGATAGGCAGTATATTCTCTCAAATAACAAATTTTGAGTAATAAATAATATTCATTAATGCACTTAATTATAATATTAAATGATAAAATTCTTTATACATTATTATTCTAATGAATATTAATAAGCATTCAATATAATTATTTAGGTGGAATCTTTATGTTAAAATGATTTCCACAATTCCACAAACTTCCTAAACTTAAAAAAAAATAAAATGAAGATTTTAATCTTTAAGTCCAGTTCTTGGATGCCTGAGTTGGTTATGAAGAGTCAAACTTTTGTATAAGTTGGATCGGTTAATGAGTACTAGAGCTTGACCTTTCACACTCTTCATGACTTCTATTAATTAATGAAGATTTTAGTCATTATATTGTGTTGTTTTAGGGTTTTCTTCCCTTAGTTACTATTTTTTATTACTATTTTGAGTAAGGAGTGATTCTCAATTTCAATTATATATCTTCATCTTTAAATTTCTTTACTTTTCTTCCTCAACTCTTTGTCTTTCTTCTTACTCGTCCCTTCTATGAATTTACTTTTTTCAAATCTTCTCTTAGGTATATTTTATTTATTATGTCTTCTACCTTGGTAATTCTAGTGAGTCTTCCAAAAATTCTAAAAGGGATTTGAGTTATACTAGAAGAACTCAAAATGGTAGATTTTTTCCAATCTTTGATCCTGAATATTCTTGGGTTTTTAGGGAAATAGGACATTATTCCTCTGTTTTTACTTCTTTCTCGTTAGTAAAAAATGTTTACAAAACTTACCATATTTACTCTGATTTTGATATTATATTTATTTTGGTTGAAGTTTGTTCTTCCACCTACAGTTTATACATAAAACCTATATTGTATATTAAGAATTTCACTTTCAATTGAATATCCACTTACGGTATTTACTCTGATTTTGATATTATATTTGTTTTGGTTGAAGGTTGTTCTTCCACCTACAGTTTATACATAAAACCTATCTTGTATATTAAGAATTTCACTTTCAATTGAATATCCTTATTTCTTTTACTGATTTCGAATATGATATATTTGTAGGGATGGATTTGTATGAATATGATATGAAAAAGTGTATATTCTATCTTTTTATTTATTTCAATTTACTTTTAATTTCTGTTTTCTAAAATAAATAAAAATATAAAGTTTTTAAAAATATATATATTTTTTACTTTTTTTATTCTCATTTTTTATTTATAATTCAATAATTTTTATTTATTATTCTTATCTATTTTTTTAAATATATCCTTAATTACAATCTTTTATTTATTTTTCTTTATTTTGATTTTTTTCAATTTAAATAATATTATTTATGATTTTTTTAAGTCTTTTAATTATTTTCAATGAAAAAACATAAATGTAGAAAAATATTTTTCAGTCTTCAAAATAAAGGTGAACACTTATTATTTGGTATAAGAATACTATTATATTTTGCTAAATATATTTATAACATTTATTAATTGTTGCAAAAGTAAAATTTAGAATCTCCTTTTCCATGTATAAATGATAGAAAATCCAAAAATATTAAACAACACCTAAATTAGAAAGACAAGAAATCAATAAAAATCAAATTTTAACTTGAAAAAACCCTTCGATGTAAAAGAAAAATCCATAAGACTTATTTTAGTAAAAAACTTCTACTAATAATAATTAATTAGTATAGGAAAATAATAGATAACTCTAACATATATCTTACAAGACAATAAAGAACTAAAATACAAAGTAATTTGGTACAAAAGAATATTTTCCGCAAACTAATTCTTATGCACAAAGCTACTTTACTATTATGTTCTCTTTTTTTTCTTTGTTGGTGACTTTTTTTCTTTTTCTCACCAAAGGTATTCCGTTTCCCTATTATATGTTCTCTGTTTGTTTTAAAAGACTGAAATGTAAATAAAGATATATAATATAATATGGTTCGGTAGCCCATAAAAAAAATATCCTTACTCTTTATTTTTTATTCTTTAACTTAGTTAGTATGAACGCAATAAATTGATGATCCTCCTAACAAATCTTTTCCTCATCAATTAGTTAGGGTTATAGTTGATCAAACATGTTTTTTTCCTTGTAAATAACAATTTGTTCATTAGATAAGATTTTTGTCATCATATTTGCGTCATTATCATTTTTACGCATTTTTTCTAATGATAATTGTTTTATTTCAAACTTATCACGTATCCAATTATATCAAACATCAATATGTTTTTACCATGAATGAAAGGTCGAATTATTGCGAGAGATAAATTGTAGTTGATTATTATAATATAAAACATAGTTTTCTTGTAAAAGTTCTAACTCTTAAAGTAACTTCTACATCGACAAGAGTTTTTTTGTAATAAGATTGTATTCTACCTCTATAGAAGACAAAATAATACATTTTTGTAATTTAGATTGTCATGACACTACTCTCCCATAAAAGTCATTATATATCTAGAAGTAGACTTTCTAGAATCTATATCACCAACCATGTTTTTATTTGTGTAATCATTCATCATAAACTTACCACTTTCAAAACATAAACATACTCCAGAAAGAAACTTGAGTATCTACTTTACAACTTGCCAATGTTTTTTGCCTGGATTAGCAAGAAAAAAAATTAACAACACCAACAATAAGAACAATATTTGGTCTTATACATATCATAACATACATTAAATTGTCAACTACAAATGAATATGAAATTTTCTACATTCCTTCTTTCTCTTTTTCACTTGTAGGATATTGATTTGAACTTAACTTAAAATGACATGCAAGTGAAGTGTTAACAAATTTATAATTGTTCATATTAAATCTCCCAAATATCTTTTCAATATATTTTTGTTGTGATAGCAATAATTATTCATTCTTCCTATCTCGAACAATTTTCATGCTAAAGATTTGTTTTGTAGAACCCAAACCTTCACTACAAAGGACTTGCTCAATTCTCTTTTGAGGCTTTAAATCTCTCACATATCATGATCAACAACTAACATATCATCAATATAAAACAAAATAATACTAAATAAACTATCAATTTTTTTTTTCACAAAATCACAATTATCAGAATAGGTTTTATCATACCTATGATCCATTATAAAGAAATCAAACTTCTTATACCATTAGTCTGCAAACAAGTTTTTTTTACCTTTGACTATGAAACCTTCAAGTTGATTTATATTAACCTTTTCTTCCAAGTCACCATGAACGAAGACAATTTTAACATAAAGTTGCTTAATTTCTTGTTACACAATCAAGAATCTGATATGATTGTAATTATTGTCAAATATTGTAATTAGCTTAAATTGGGATACCTACTTAATATACAAGAGATACTTGCCTAATTTCTAGAGATTTAGCTTATTTCTCTCCTAATGTTATGTAACGGTCAGTGTATTCACTTGTATATATTTTGCCTCTCAATCAATGAAATATATGCTCTCGAGGTATACTTTCATG